CGGGGGAGGGGGGGGAAGCAGTCGTCTCCCGGTGGCAAGACGGCGGTGGCGGGCGACGTGGGAGTGGGCGGCGTCGCTGGGCCGATGTGGAGGCCCTGGTAGCTGGCAGAGTCGCTGGCAAAAATGGGCGGTGGCGTCGGGGACGGAGGAGGAGGGCGAGGGTTGCTGTTGGACGGGGGAGGGCGATGTGACACAGACCAGCGGGTCCGGGGGGAGGAGAGGGCGAGCGTGCGTGCGTCTGTCGCGTGTCCGCGCCGACGCAAACCCGGCTCAAAAATGGGCCGGGAATGGGTCGCCCGCGGACAAAAAGCGGACGCGCGTCCATTTGGGTCGGCGCGTTGGGCCGAATTTTCTGTCCGCGCTGACCCAAACGGACAGTGGCGGACTAAATGGATCGCCCCATTGGAGTTGCTCTAAGGGCCCGAAGAAAAACGCCACGGATCCACGGTTGGCCGATTATGCATTCCTTGCAACCGAGCTCTCGGCGACAAGATGCTCATGAAGGACTACTTCACTAAGGTAACGACATATCCGGCTCACCTATTTCGTAGGTGATACCAAATGCATAGGTCTCTTTTCATGTGCATCGTTAAAGCTTGCGAGCAGAATTACAGTTTTTTCACTCGGCATAGGAATGCCGCCGGTTTGCTTGGCTTTAGTGCATATCAAAAAATATCGGCGGCGATGAGAGTGATTGCATATGGTGTTCCCGCCGACTATGCGGATGAATATCTTCGCATTGGAGAAGATACCACTATCAGATGCGTCTATGTCTTTTGCAAAGACAATGATCCAGGGTTTTGGCCCAGAGTACCTTCGAGCTCCAAACAAGGAAGACACAAATAAGCTCATGGCAATGAACGAAAAGAGGGGATGGACGGGCATGCTAGGAAGTATTGATTGCATGCATTGAAGGTGGAAGAGCTGCCCAGTGGCTTGAGCAGGGTAATACCCCGGCCACAAGCGTAAACCCACCATTGTGCTTGAAGCCATGGCCTCACATGAGTTATGGATTTGGCATTGTTTCATTGGTTTGTCGGGGTCTCTCAATGATATCAATGTTTGCAGTGATCTCATCTATTTGCTCAACTAGCTAGTGGCAAAGCTCCGTCTTGCAACTATACCATCAGTGGCCATGACTATACCATGGGGTACTATCTTGCCGACGGTGTTTACACTTCATGTTCAACATTTGTGAAGACCATTAGTGAATCCGAAACCAAGAAACACAAAAAATATGCCAAAGCACAAGAAGCTTGCGGAAAGGATATTGAGAGGGCATTTGGTGTGTTGCAAGCTCGGTTTTCCACTATTCGAGGTCCCAATAGCTTGCAGGATAAAAATCCATCAGAAACATCATGACTGCTTGTGTAATTTTACACAACATGATCGTCGAGGATGAGAGGGATTTGAATTTAGATTTTTATTATGACAATGTTGGTAGCTGTGTGAAGCCTATCAGGGACGCAGATGAGATCACTGCATTTCTTGACACCTACCAGAGGATTGAGAATCGTGATTCACACAACCAACTCCAGCATGATCTTATTAAGCATCGTTGGCAACTCTATGGAGGATAGATCCACATTTTTATTCATATGTATTTGTGTGATTTGAACAAGTGGTGTTGTAATAATTATTCGAACTTGAACATTTCTTGTATTGAAAACGATTGTTGTATTGTGAATTGCTTTTCAGACGATTTATACTCATATGTTTAATTTATATTATGATTTCATTTGGTTCATAATGTTG